TACCTCTTTCCTAGTGTCCAGCAACAGCCTCTGATCCGGTCTCCCCACTCCATTCGTCCACTCACAACAAGCAGCCAAAGTTCTCCCTTCAAAATGAGGCCATGTCATATCGTTTCTCTGTTCTCTGAGTCCCCTCCACCCCTAGCCTTTCTGCCCTCCTCTTCCACTGCTCTCCTCTTCCTCACTCACTTGGTTGCAGCCACACTGGTTTCTTTCTGTTCTTGGGTGGGTCACCCATGTTGTCTACGTGGTGTTCATGAAGCTTCATGAATGCAGGAATCTGTCCTGCTCACTGATGATCCCTTTTGCCTAGAATAGTGCTGGGCACATAGTAGGCACTCAAAAATATTTATTGAATTAAGGAACGACTGAAAGGAAGATTTTTTTCTAGTCTGGTAATGAAACCATTCTTCAGAACCAGAGTGCATAGTGGAAAGGGCAGCAATGTTTTTGACAAGGCTGCCATCTAGTGGCTGAACTCCTCTATAGCTTTGTAGGGACTCATTTCTCATGACTCTTGAGCAGTTAATGGGGTAAGCAGAGAGGACAAGTGCCTATGCACAAGGGACTACCCCATTCTTTAAAATCAACACTTATAAGGTATATAAGGTAAGACGAGATATACACAAAGGGTATATCTTAGAGAGAAAAGGAAGAAGAATATGTCTGGGCTGCAATGCAGATATGTTAATAACTTTGATTAAGCGGAGGTTACGTGTGGAAACATGGGGTAGGCATGGAAGACACAAAGAGAAACTTATCTGACCTTTATGAAGCCAAGTGTCCTGATCTGGATAAAACACCACGTTCTTCTTAAGACTGTTGTAAGAACGAAGTGAGGTAACAGACAGAGGCCCCCAGGAAATGTGGGAACCTGCTCACTTTAGGAGCCAGTATTAAACTGAGGTCTTTCTCTAGAATCCTGAACAAAAGGAGTACATTTTGTGATCAAACGATTAAATGATTTACCAACAAATGGTGAAGAAACATCACAATAGGCAAGTCAAAGAAGAAGGATTTAGTTAAAGCAAAAAAAAAAAAAAAAGTTTAGGTTACGACTTACATTTACTCTTTTTAATTTATAAAGCATTGTGTATTTGTGTTTTAAAATTTTCAAACAATATAGAAAGATCTAAAATGATCTACTGGTAATTCTCCTCAAAGACAACCATTTTTACATTTTTCCTGAAAAAAAGCTATGATTTCAAAAATTAAATTAACATATACTTTTTAAAAATTAAAACAAATGAGATCATAATATATGCACCATGTTATTTTTCTTAGTTAGTAATATATACTTCGATCTTTCCCTTTGGATACATACAAACCCACTGTGACCATTTTCATGGCTGCATATTATTCTATTGTACCAAAATCTCATTATGCAACCAGCACTTGAGACACACTTAGGAATTTCCAGTATTTTGCTATTCTAATAATGCTGCAACTGAACATCTTTTCCATATATACTGACATCCTCTTTCATGTAAGCCAGTAGTGTTAAATGCTAAGCAATAGAAATGTTCTGTGAAAGGTTATACATATTTCAGATGTAGACTGATATTACGAAATTGTCCTAGTGCATCAACTATATGTGGTGTGCCAGCTCCCTTAATAACACCAGAAATTATCACCCTTAATAACACCAGAAATTATCAACCATTTTAATTTTAGCCAATCCATTAGGGGAAATAGTATATCTAATTATTGTTTTGATTTACATTTCTTTATCTGTTCATGAGGCTTAGCATCTTTCTATTGGCTATGTTTATTTTTTTAATGTGAACTACCCATTTTTCTACTGTACTATTTTTCTTTTCTTATTTATATAAACTCTTTGTAAATAAGCCCTTTGATACATGTATTGCAATTTCCCCTTTTTTTACAAAGCAGTTTTTTATATTTATGTGATATTTCATCTTTTCCTGTCATGGTTTCTAGCAGTGCTTCCATGTTTGTTCCTACTTAGGTTCTTTCAAGGCCGAGACTACAAATTGATTCTCTGATGTTTTTTCTCTTTGTACTTTCATGGTTTCACTTTTTAATATTTAAATCTTCAATCCAATTGGAATTTATTTTGATGAGAGGAATGAGATAGGGATCTAGCTTTATTTTTTCCTGAAAACCCGATCGGTCATTATTTTTGAGTGAATTATCCATCTTGATATACAATGCCACTTTTATCCTATGCTAAATCCTCCAGTATATTCTGGACTTTTCTCCATTGTTACACTGATTTGCCTATTTCTTCTCCAGTTCCAAGATGCTTACAGTTGATTCCTTGATTACTATTTTTCAGAAATATTCAGAAATATTCAGAAGAATATTTATTCTTCTAGGTCAGGGTTTATCAACAGCAGCACTATTGGCATTTTGGGCTAGATAATTCTTTATTGTCGGGGGCTGTCTTGTGCATCATAGGATGTTTAGCAGCATCCCTGGCCTCTACCCACTAGATGTCAGTGGCACACCCTAGTTATGACAACCAAAACTACAGACCTTGCCAACTGTTCCCTGGGTTGTGGGGAGGGCGAAATCACCCCCCAATTGAGAACCACCATTTTAGATAAACCCAGTATCATTTTATCAGTATATCCACATTCAAATTCCCACTGATATTTAATTGGAATGAAAATAAGTTCATAAAATAAATTACACATCTTTTTATATTTAATATAAAATACTTATTAAATTTAATCTTTAGTATATTTAATCTTTCTATCCAAGAACCATGTATATCCTTCTACTTATTTATATCTTAATTTGTGTCCTTCAGAAGAGTTTTCAGATTTTTTTAATATAGGCTCATACTTTAAGTTTATTTCTAGGTATTTTACCTTTCTTATTCCTTCATAAATAAGATCATTCCTTACTTTATTATCTTTTCTAACTAGTCATTGATAAAAAAGCTATTGATATTTTATATTCTACAACTAGCCACACTTTGTACACTTATTGTATTTAATAGATATTCAGAACATGCTAAGTTTTTTCTAATGATATCATTTCAGGAAATTCTAAGCATTTTTTTAAGCATATAATGTTTTTATGTGCATAAAATCATCATTTTGTTTCATTTCCAAAATATAGTTATAGCTCTCCTATCTTGCTGCTGTGATTAACACTTGCAGAAGAATTTATTTTTTTTATTTTTTAAAATCAATTAATTATTTTAATTAGAATGATTAAAAAAATTTTTTTCTCCATCTACCTCCCCTCTTCCCCTTCCCCTCTACCCTCTGGTAACCACTAGTCCATTGTCCATGTCCATGAGTCTCTGTCCTGTTTGTCCTGTTCATTCGTTGCTTTTAGGTTTATATCTCACATATATGTGATACCATGTTATTTTCAACTTTTTCTGTCTGACTTATTTCGCTTAGTATGATTATTTCAAGGTCCATCCATGTTGTTGCAAATGGCAATATTTCATCTCTTCTTATGGCTGAGTAATATTCCATTGTATACATGTACCATAGCTTCTTTAGCCAATCATCTTTCGTAGGACACTTCAGTTGCTTCTATGTCCTGGTTACAGAAGAATTTAAATGACAGTGGTGACAGCAGATAAACTTGAATCATTCTCAATTTTAATAGGACTATTTCTAAGATTTCACAATTGAGCATAAAGCTTCTTTGAGATACATATATTTTATATCACTAAAGAAGTATCCATACGTTTATAGTCTACCAAGTTTGTTTTTAAATCAGAAAAAATGCTAATTTTGTCAAATGCATCTTCCATCTCTACTGAGATGACTACATGGTTTTTCTTACTTAGTCTATTAATTTTGTATGATAGATTTTATATATGTGTGTGTGTGTGTGTGTTTGTGTGTGTGTGTGTGTGTGTGTATACACCTAGACTTCCTAATATTAAGCCATTCTTGGATGACTTGGTTGTGAGATGCACTACTGTTCTTTCGATTTCTTGTTGAATTCTATTTGCTAATATTTTGATCTTACTTTTTTTACGTCAATCTTTGAGAGTGAGATCATTCTGTCATATTCTTAGAGCTTTTTAAACTTTTGGAATTAGTGTTAGGCTGGCTTGATTAAAAATAACTTGTACTTTCATTTGTTGTATTTTAAAACCAAATATGTGTATTTTGTATGAAACTAGTCTTTAAAATAGTAAAACCATTGTATAGAAACACAAAGCCATTCCCCCTACATCCTAAAAAAAAAAAAAAAAGCCACATATACTCTTCAGAGATTCAACTTTTTGAAAACCAAATAAATTAAAATACGCCTTTGGAAAGCTAATCTGGGTAGTAATAGTTAATGTAAAGAGTAAAAAAATCATAAGTATACTACTATTCAACCCTATATTATTATAAATTAATAATGACGTATTTCGGCTATTTTCTCATCTTAGATAATTTAGCAATACACGGAGAACGTCATTGTAAGTCTTGGACTGTGGAAAACTTAGCTTTTTTGTTTACGTGCTCAAAAGAAAATAAAATCTATTCTTTGATGTTTTAAGTTTGATGCTCTGAACTCTAATATAATGGTTTGTTTTTTAAAAAAAAAAACGTTTTCTGTTTCTTAAAAAAATAATAATACTGAGAAAGTTCACAGTCCCAGTGGCTACTGCCACCTAAGGGACTCAGAACAGTCTTTATATGCAGCTCGTCTCAGTTTTCCATAAAATGTTGTATGCCCACCTCTGCAAGGGACCTACAGGGTTCATTCATTCATCTAATGTATGTTACACCATGGCAACCCCAGAACATATACCACCTTGACTGGACTTCACAGACACAGGGTGACAGATGGACAACTAGAAGGATGGTGGGAACCACGGCACTCCTCATTACCTTTTTATTTCTCATCTGTTTCCCCACTAGATGTAAACTCCTTGTAGGCAGGATATCGTTACCTAAAACAGTTCCTGGCCCAGAGTAAATGCTCAATACATATCTGATGAAGGGAAAGGATGCATCAATCACTGACATCGATCACGGCCAAGATGAATGACCTGCCTGGGTCCCTCCTACCTGGGTTGCTCCTCAAGCGGCTCTCAGAGAACTCAGAGATGGCTCCGGCTGTTGAAGTCTTTTTCAGTCGAACTACACCAGAAGCAATGGTACTTCCTGGTTTGTTGAGCATGTCCTCACTACTGGCCCTCTTGAGCTAAGAGAGAGGTAGAGGGAAAGA